CTGTTCGGTGCCAATTTTCTAACTAATGCACATTTGCCTTTATTACAAGTGCCCCTTTTTATTCACATAAGTGCCCCTTTTCATATTTAGTCATTGCCTCTTTTCAGATGCGATGAGTGCATCTTTTCACCTCTGATAATTTCCCTTTTAACAATATATTATAATATTTTATAAATGCCCCTACCAACATCTGATGGGGGCCCCTTTTTCGTCGAAAAATGCCCATTTCCTATTCTCATGACTGACTTTTTTCATCCCTGGTTAGTGCCTTTTTTTGAGGGTGTAAGAAGTGCCCTATTTTAACCTCTGATAATTACTTTTTGTACTTTGGCACATCCTTCTTTTCTTTCTTGATAAGTGTCCCCTTTTCCTCTCATCATTAAACGCGCCCTAGCTAATTTCAAGCGCGACTAAGAGCAATTTTCCCCGAAGCTCGCTACACTCGCACGCATCTATAGATGATATACTTATGTTACTTATCAAAGGTCTTTTCAGTCCTCCGTTATGAGAATGTGCACATAATCCCATTAGGATTGGGTTGTTCCCTCTCTATAAGATGTAATTTTTCGTACTGCGACCTCAGACATCTTAAAAATTTTCCTCGCTCGCTAGCAAACAATGTTGTAGACAATCTGATACTTTTTATAGCCAATTGTTGGAACTTGTATATGTATCTTTTAATAACAGGGAGCTGCCTCGACAGAACCTTATGGTTTTATTTGCAGTTTCCCCAATTCATTTCTATTGCTGTTTAACTTTTTATAATTCCGATATATTTGTAGACATGTTTCCATTTTGTGTGTATTTTGTGTTTTCTATATTGTATATAATCTGTATCTTATATGTTTTTTATGGACTTGAATTGAAATAAAACTTGAACTTGAACTTGAACTTAAACTTGAACTTGAACTTGAATCAAACCCAACTGCAAAGCATGATGCTTAAGAAATATCTTGTGTGGTGTTTAAAGTGAAACAAATATTGAAATCATCCCTGATAATTGTAATCACAGTGTAGGGATATATACCAATGTCTAAAAAATTGTATATTTTCGCTCTGAGATTTCCCTTTGTAGGTTCCCTTTTTTCCTTGGTCCCTCCCCCCACTTTCGAAGTCACTCGGCCGCCCCTGCAGTGATGCATTATTAGACTGTTTTCCTTATAATAAAGATTAAGCTGAAAAATGAAACTTAAAAAACAGAATCAGACAAATGTAAAAGACGATTTTGAATATGTGGAAATGCAAAAATTTAACACTTTCAGTTAAAAATAATTTTAATGAAAACTTTTGCCTTTAATAGCAAAGTTCATATATTTAGCTTCAGCTTTAGATGTCTCAGAATATGTCATCTAATGTAAAGCATAATCATATTCGACTTTCTATGGAGTGGAGGTAAAGTTATGATAAACAAACACTATCATAGTGGATTTAGAAGAAAGGGGTTTCAAGATGGTCGACCTTAAAACAATTTTTTTTTCTTCTTCTTTCATTTCTATGAGATTGTAAAAATGTATTTTCTGTTTCTGTTCCGTTCAAACAATGTATTTCATTATACCCCGAAGTTAGGCGGGGTAAATTTTTAAAAACTTCTTTTAGGAGGTAAAAATACAAAATACAAATTATCACCACTTTTGCAATGTGAAAAACAAATTTGCTCTTTCTTAATGCCACACTCTATGCTTATTTTACTTTATATTAATCTCATCTTGCAGGTATTAGCTAACGTAATGTTCTCTATCCGTACGTCTTACACGCCCATTTACACACTAGCTATATGTACAACAGAATTAAGTACCAATACAGACCACCCCTTCCCATTTTTTTTGTCTGGGTAGATAAATTCGTTGGGAATTGCAAATGCTGGGGCTGAGTGCATGCATGCACTCAAAAGTAAAATATTAACAGTTGGGGGAAAAAATTAACGTTCACAATTTAACCGTTATAACATTTTCAGATTAATGAACTCACTGGTATTCTATCTTTGTTATTGTATGAGCCATTGAAAGTACAAACGTTTGGGAAAAAACGATGCCCATCATTATCCTACCAAAACAAGAGCATCCAAGTGAGACGCTTTATTGCAATTCAATTATACATCTATTCATTAAAAATACAGACTTTTTCCATGCCAGAAATATTCCATTAAGGTAATGTGATGAATTTATATATTTATTTGTCTGATAGTGCAAATTGGTCTTGGTTCTTTTTAATCAGCGTATCATTAATACCAGCTTGTTTGTATCGCAACGTGCATAGCAACGAAAAATAATGGTGATACTATCAATATTTATCCTTTTGATCCACTCACAAACCCCACCACTCTGAAAATATTTGACGCTGACAGGTATTCCAATAAAGCTGAATCATAATTGTCAATCCACTTTCAGCATGTTATTAGCGTAACATGTATTTTCACATATAAAATAAATGTACGCCCCACTCCTCAAAATAAGTACATTGGCCCTAATACCTAACACAACTTTTGAATAATTTCGATCTAGAATTATGATTTCTTTTTTTTAAGATAACAAGCGTTTTCACGAACATCACAAACCAAAACGAAGCAAACAAGCTAATTTAGAGGTGGGGGTCCTGGAAGGAGGGGGGGGGGGAAGGGGTTTGACAAGGGTCACAGTGCCCCCAACTTTTTTAAGTACCCCCAAAAGGGCCCTTTTGAACAAAGAAAAGGTGCCTCCTTTTACTTGATCTTTTTGTTTAAAGCCCTTGAAGATTGATCTGTTAAGTATTCTATGTTTTTGTTTCAATCATATTGAAATAGCCACCATGTGCTTGATTTTATTTTATAGCCGTTTTCCTTGTTATCTGTTTTAATAAATATATGATTCCTTTCTAGATTTAGATAATTAATTTGTTTAGAAGGATGTATTTTCATTTAAATTAATGCAAATTCGTTATAATAAAGTTAAACATTTAAATTTAAAGATGATTCATAGGATTATAGCCTCAAAAGAAAATTTATATAAATGGCAAACGGTGAATAATAATTTATGCAACACTTGTGAAAAAGTCGATGCAACGTTTCACTTTTTGTTTGTATAACAGGGATATGATTATGTTTTGGAAAATAATTTGTAATTTGATATTCCACTTATTCCAAGTAAAACTTCGAATGAACCAAAATATATCAGTTGTACGTAAGGGCATAGCCTACAGTCCGGCAGCCCAGAGCACTTTGATCAAACGAACGAGGTAACAATATCTGAGTATTGGAACATTTGGGAAAAAACCTAGGATATCAAAATGTGGACGTCTGCCGGAGTCCCTCTGCTGCATGTGGCCCCTGGGGCCAGTTGAGGGGGGCCCCAAAATGCATCTGATCAAACGAACGAGGTACCACTTGAAACCAGTGTTAACTGATTGTATGAATGCCACAGAGTACTGAATGGCCCATGCCAGACAACAATTTCTGCTGCTAAGGGCCCGCCAGACGCCCCCATAGGGGGCCCCTACAAAATGCATTTGCTCAAACGAACGAGGTACCACTTGAAACCAGTGTTAACTAAATACATGAATGCCACAGAGCACTGAATGACCCACGCCAGACAAAATACAATTACGGGGGAAAAACAACGAACCAAAAAACAAAAACGGGGAACTACTTATTCTGATTCGTTTGTAACAAAAAGTGCTTGAGGGCATTTTTAAAAAACAATTATAGAGGGTTTTTCTTTTAATGTGCCGGGAAGGGCATTCCAGTATTTTGGGCCAGTTAAAGTGAAAATCCTGCTGGAAAATACTGTTTTTGGTTTTGGTAGGTGATAACATTAACATCATTAGCCATTATCTTAATTATCATTTTTCATTTTTCAATGTTAACATTTTTTATAAACACAGGCTAAAGACCAAAAGATCAGTGTAATGTGGAAGTTGCTGTTTGGCACTGTAACCTGTTTGTCCTTTGGTAAGAATAATTATATACGTCATAATTTCATGGTTGTACGAATATTGCTGAAAAAGTTGGCTCAAAAAATTACCATTATGAAGCGAAATAGGAGCGAGGTGTAAAATCTACGTGGGATCTCTAATAAATAGTTCGACGTTTGGAAAATTCCCCCTAATGAATGTTTAAAACTATTGTAAGGGAAATTTCAATCATAAGGGGTAGGGGAGGGGAAGAATAAATAGGAGATGGGGAAGGGGAAAAGGAAGGAGAGATGGTGAGAGGTGACGGGGAGGAAGAGGAGGAAGAGAAGGAGGTTGAGGAGGAAGAGGAGGAGAATGAGGGGAATATGGGAGAAAGAGAATGATACTAAAGGGGGAGAGGAAGAGGTAGAAGAGGAGGAGGTAGAAGAGGAAGAAGATGGGGGAGGAGGAGGGGGCGGTGAGGAGGAGGGGAGGCGGTGAGGAGGAGGGGAGGCGGTGAGGAGGAGGGGAGGCGGTGAGGAGGAGGGGAGGCGGTGAGGAGGAGGGGAGGCGGTGAGTAGGAGGGGAGGCGGTGAGGAGGAGGGGAGGCGGTGAGGAGGAGGAGGGGAGGCGGTGAGGAGGAGGGGAGGCGGTGAGGGGGAGGGGAGGCGGTGAGGGGGAGGGGAGGCGGTGAGGGGGAGGGGAGGCGGTGAGGGGGAGGGGAGGCGGTGAGGAGGAGGGGAGGCGGTGAGGAGGAGGGGAGGCGGTGAGGAGGAGGGGAGTTGGTGAGTAGGAGGGGAGGCGGTGAGGAGGAGGGAAGGCTGAGAAAGGGGGAGGTAGAAGAGGAGGGACAGCGGGAAGAGGAGGAGGAGGGGAGGCAAGGGAGAAAGAGGAAGGATTGGGGAGGGGAATAGGAGGAGGGAGAGCAGTAGGAGGAAGAGCTCACTAGCGATTTTTTTTTTTGTGTGTGTTTATTCCACACAGCCTTGCCCGCTTTATCGGCTTCGTCGAAGCTGACGAAAACATCTTGTCCAGGCAAGTTCAGCAAGCAAAGCACCTTGCCGACATCCTTGTAAGATGGTGCGACTGCCCGATGGCACCATGTTGCAGACCGTCCCAAAACTCTTCTCTACCCTTGCCGTCTTCGCTGGAAAAATTCCTGGCCAACACATAATATGCAGAATCCCGGGTAAATCTCATGCTTCCTTGGTTTCATTTTTGTTATAAAATATCAAATCCCTTAAAAAAAGCTAATCAATCAATAATAGTACAGATCATACATTTTTAATTGACATTATAAATATCCGATCCCACTATCATTAAAACTACTAACAATACTATACGAATACTACTAGAGGTCTACCACCACTACTACTACCACTGCAACTACTACTACTACTACTACTATTACTACTACTACTACTACTACTACTACTACTACTACTACTACTACTACTACCTCTACTACTAATTAAGTAATTGTTAAGTGCTAGAAAAACCAGTGACAAACTTCGCGGTCTCCGTTCTAAATAATTTCTTTATTTTTAGGCCGCTTTTTCTATATCACGATTTCTTTTATTACAGTACAGGTACGTAGGAAGATTTAAAAAGGGCAAGGTTGTACGACACTTGTTTCTGACGAAAATTGCTCCACGTTAATTTCTTAAAGGGGAATCCAAATCTTGTTAAATATTCATTTGTATGAAAGTAGAAAAGTAAGAGAAAAAGATTGGCAAAATAAATCGAATTAACTTCAAGGGAGTTATGAATGATTGAAATATGAGATCACTAAATATATGCCAATCTCCAATTAATTGTGACATAGTCATGGACAACTTTCCCGTTCGTCGTGGATAAAAATGGTTAGAAATGCCTTCTCCCTTGGGGCAGTAGGCAAAATATATTTCGGATAGCACATTATCATCGGTTCTCTCAAATGGAAAGGCCCTCTAGAGTCAAACATTTGGAAAAATTAACATTTTAGTCATTTTGTGTGTTGAAACAAATTTTCTTATTTTTTATCCGATTCCATTCGAACTTTCATCAGTCTGCATCTCTGATATTTCTGCTTTCTTTAATATAGAGTACTTTTCTATTATGATTGGGTTTTCCTGTAACTGTAACAAACACTATACCTGACCCTAACTCTAATCCTAACCTTAAAGCCAATTGCAACTCTTACCCTAATCATAAACCTTTGACAAAATAAAGCCAGGAACAATTAACGGGGGATTTATTAAAAAATAGTCGGCAAGGGCTGTGAGTTACACCAGGCAAAACAGTGTATTTAGAGAATGGGCACTGACAACAATGCAATGGGTATCCGATGGCTATGGAGTATGGTCTCCGTGGCGTTTGCTATGTTTAAGCCCTGGTAAAAATGCATTATCATTAGTCTTGCTTATCTTTTTTTATGTTAATTTGTGAAAATCCCGAAAATATATCTTTTCACACCAACCAGAACAAAATGTAATGATAATTTGTTAATCAATATTGAGTTTTATCCCGTTTATTACTTATTTCGCAGATTGTGGCAAAAACCTCTGTAAAAACGGCTGGTGTGAGGAGACTATGGTAGGCTACCACTGTCACTGCTCAAGTGGGTTTCAAGGGAGACACTGCGATGAACGTAGGTGTAATATCAATGTAGGCGTATCGGGGGAGGGGGAGGGGTGACTAATGAACAATGAGCATGAAGAGACTTTCTACAGGGGGTAAACGAAAATTCAGTAGTTGCAACTGAAGAAGAAGAAGAAGTAAAAGATGATGTTTAAGAAGAAAATACCTCGCGGTCCTCTTTCGGAATTTGTTGAAATAATTTGGATTCCCACAGGAAAAATGTTTTCCGATTTCTATTTGTTCCCCCCCCCCCCCCCCCGCTTTGATCCTATCCCTCTCCCTGACCAAGAGCGCCTGGAGACAGCCGGCGGGAAGATAATTTCAGAGTAAATATTATGCCTTGTCATCTACCCCATGTTTGTTTCTTCTTCACAGAGTCAACGGAGGAAGCGACGAACAAGCCTACGACGAGCCCTTCGACTACGATGACGGAACGCTCAGACACAACGACTTCTCAAAGCACCACTACCTCTGGTATGTCTAGGCAATAGCTTCATGGAAATGACGTCATGCATTTGATTTTTATCAAAATGGGTCTAGCCACTATATCCCCTTTTTTCTCTTTCCCTCTCTCTCGGTCTTTATCTGATTTGATATACCTCACTTAAGAAATACAACCATCTTACTGGTCGAAATTGGAGTCGTGATTTTGGCCATTCCCGTAAAGAAACAAAAAATGCCAATACCGGTTAATAGTCCAAAAGTGAGATCCCTCAAATATTTCGGTTTCCATGAAAATAGTAAAATTTTGCTGCAATACCCACTGTGGTTTAAGTATTAAAATTTCCTTTGTGCGACGCGGACACCGCTAAACAAAGATAAACAGACAGTTTCTCAGATTTTCCGTGATGTTTTAACCGATCTTTACTCAATAAAAGAATAAGGTGAGAATTCTTGGTAGATTTTTGTTTCAATTCAGCATTTTGAAAGACATAACGAATTCTTTAATATGCGAGGTCTGGCTGATGTATAGGCTCTTAAGAGCTTGAGCCTATTAAACAGCAAGGCCTCTTGAAGCAGTCGATATCTCTATACTATTTTTCGGTCCTTTCGGGGCGTCACTAAAACATTTTCTTTAAGGAGGGGGGGGGGGGGAGTGACCGTCTAATTCTTATTTTTATAGTCTTATTTGTATTTGTCCCTCTTTCAGGAGCGTCGCTAAAACACTTTAGAAGGGGACAGTGTACGTTAATTATTTAAATATATATTTTGCCTTTAAGTTTAACGACAACGTTCTTGATGCTGTTATTGTTCTTCTTCCCTCTTCGCACATTCTTTGTCTCTATCTATTTGTTTTTCTATCATTTCCTGATTCCGGCTCCCTTTTCCCCACTCAATTTAATACATTTTTTCCATTTCGTTCACAACGGGAAGCGAAAACCAAGTCCGCGACGAGCCCAACGGTCACAATGCCGGAACGATCAGACGCGACGTCATCGCAAGAAACCACAACTTCCAGTAAGAGAAACATTAAAATGACGTCATGTGATTAATATCAATATAGCCCGAATTCAAGGAGGTTTGTCGACAAATCTCCTTTGTGAATTCGGGCCTCTAGGTTTAGCCAATATAGTCTCTCTCTCTCTCTCTCTCTCTCTCTCTCTCCTTTCTCTCTCTCTCTCTCTCTCTCTCTCATTCTCTCTCTCTCTCTTTATATCTGTATATCTCAGTCTTTATCTGACTTTTTAAAAGTCCTTTCCTATCTCGGGCGTCGGTAAAACATTTGTTTAAGGGGTAAGTGACCGTCTAATTCTTTTGTCCACGCGTTTAACAACAATTAGACACGCCATATCAATACATTTAGATAAATGATTTGGCAAAATAAGACCCTTTGACTTAGACCCACTAAACCCAATGTCCTGACACAAACTATACAGTCCTCATAAAATAAATAAACTGTTAAAGTTTATTTTTAAAAAATGTTCTTCGTTTTGGCCTTCTATTCCTGTTGAGGTGTCATTCCTAATGTTATTACTTTAAACGTGTGGCTTCATTTTTTATAAACGTTTCACAGTCAGTGGAATCATCGACTACGGACGTGGCGACCAAGACATCTACGAGGCCTATGACCACGGTGTCAGCCACAACGACATCGCCAGAAACCACCGCCTCCAGTAAGTAAGAGAAACAATGAAATGATGTCATGCTTTCGATCATTATTATAATGTGTCAAGCAACTACACCTTCCCTCTCTCTCTCTCTCTCTCTCTCTCTCTCTCTCTCTCTCTCTCTATCTCTCTCTCCTATTCTCTCTTCCCACTCCCCCTTCACCACCCTCACCCCTTCATTGACCACTCCCTCCACCCCTCCGCCTTTCTCTCTTTCTTCATCTCTCTTTCAGTCTTTATCTTCTTCTATCCTCTTCGCGCGTTCTTTGTCTCTGCCTGTCTATTTCCAAATCATTCCCTGACTTCGGCTCCCCCCACTCATTGAACAATTTTTTCTTTGTCTTTTATTCCGTTCAGATTCGGTGAAAACGGAAGCCAAAACCAAGTCCGAGCCGAGCCCTACGATCACGATGCCGGAACGATCAGAGGCAACGACATCGCAAGTAACCACAACCTCCAGTAAGAGAAACAACTTTCCCCTCTCTCTCTCTCTCTCTCTCTCACTCCACCCCTCTCTCCCTCTCTCTCTCTCTCTCTCTCTCTCTCTCTCTCTTCTCTCTCTCAGTTTTTATCTCTATCCTGTCACGGGCGTCGCTAAAACCTTATTTAGGGGCAGTTAACCGTCTCATTCGTTCGCCCACGAGTTTAAAGACAACAAACACATTTAGATAAATTATTCGGTAAAAATTTACTTGGGCTTTGGCAAAGCACCACTTAATCTACAAACACAATTTATTTTTTGTCAGGGAGCAGAATTTTCTTCGTTTTGGTCCTCTACAATCATGTATAGGTTGTCATTCATAATCTCAGTGCTTTGTATTTTTGGTTTAATTTGTTACAACCTTCAAACGTTTCAGAGTCAGCAGAATTATCGACTACGGACGCGACGGGCAAGCCCATGACGAGCCGTAGGACCACGATATCAGACACAACGACATTGCAAGACACCATTACCTCCAGTAAGTATGCTTTTGATCATTAATATAATTTGTCTAGCCACTACCCCCTTCTCTATCTTTCTCTCTCCTTCTCTCTCTCTCTCTCTTCCTCTCTTTATCCCGTCCCCTTCACCACCCGTCTCCTTCTACTGGCCACCTAACCTCCACCCCTCCCCTTTTCTCTCTCTTAGATAGATAGATAGATAGATATTTGGTTTTATTCAAGTACTGATTAAAAAGTCCGAAGGCTAAACAAGTCAGTTAACAATATAAAATGCATAACAAAAAATATAACAAGGTAAAAAAACACATGGATGAATTAAATCATTAATAAGTTTAAAAAAAATATATAATAAGTATATAAGTTCATAATAATAAGTAAATAAATAAGTATATACAATTACCATAAATAATTATATATAATACGATCATTGCTACAGTGAAAGGACTTGGAATTCAAATTAGAAACAAATTAAAACAGCTTTGGGAGATCATACAATTACCATAAATAATCATATATAATACGATCATTGCTATAGTGAAAGGACTTGGAAAATTAAAAACAAATTAAAACAGCTTTGGGAGATCATACAATCTTCATCTCTCTTTTAGTCTTTATCTGACTCTGAGTAAGAGAAACAATGCAATAAATTCAGTGGTAGGTCTAGCAACTTCTACTCTCCACTCTCTCTCTCTCTCTCTCTCTATCTATCTCCCTCCCCCTCTCTCTCTCTCTCTCTCTCTCTCTTTCTCTTTCTCTCTCTCTCTATCTCCCTCCCTCCCTCCCTCCCTCCTCTCCTTCCCATCCCACCCCTCCTCTCCTCACCTCTTTCATTCATAAACAAACAAAAAATATATATAAGAAATAACATTGTGAATTTCCTAAAATTTGCAATGTTAAAGGTGTCACCGGTTTTGGAAACGCCCCCTCTCAAAAAATGAAATGGAAGGTCTTATTACCAATCATGTGAAAGAATATGTTTTGACTAATACGTGATGATATAAATTTGCCGGTAATTTTACCAGTACGACAATACAAGACAGTGGCCGGTACTGCAACTGAAGAAGAAGAACAAGAAGAAGAAGAAGAAGAAGATGATGATGCTGATGATGATAATGATTAAAAAGAAAGTAACTCGCGGTCCTCTTTTCGAACTTTTTGATAGAATTGGGATTTCCACAGGAAAAGCATTTTCTGATTTCTATTCCCCCCCCCCCCAACTTGATCCTATCCCCGTACCCTGACTAAGAAAAAGCTTTCCCCTCTCTTTCTCCCTCCCCCTCAGTCTTTATCTCTATCCTGTCACGGGCTTTTCTAAAAGGAGGAGGTACCCGTCTCATTCGTTTGCCCACGAGTTTAATGACAACAAACACGCCACAGGAACACACCACTAAATCTACAAACACAAATAATACCTTATAAAATAAATAAACTAATACTATTTCTATGTTGTCAGGGAGCACAATTGTCTTCGTTTTGGCCTTATATATTCACGTTTAGATTGTCATTCATAATCCCATTGCTTTGTAAGTATGGTTTCATTTGTAACAACCTTCAAACGTTTCAGAGACAGCAGAAGTATTGACTACGGACGCGACGAGCAAGCCCATGACGAGCCCTACGACCACGATGCCAGACACAACGACATCACAAGAAACCCCCGCCTTCAGTAAGTAAGAGAAACAATGAAATGATGTCATGCTTTAAAAAAAAAAATCATTATTATGATGTGTCAAGCCACTACCCCTTCCCTCTCTTTCTCTCTCTCCCCCTCTCTCTCTCTCCCTTTCTTTCTCCCCTCCCTATGCACCGACCACCCCTCCATCCCTCTTTCGCCCTCTCTTCATCTTTGTAGTTTCTCAGTCGAGTGATTTAAGCACTTGACTTGAAACTCAAAGGTCGTGGTTCGATCCCCGACACGGCATTAATGTCCTTTGGCAAGGCATTAATCTCCATTTGCCACACTCGACCCAGATGAGATAAATGGGAACCTATCGGAATTAATTCCTTGAAATACTGGAGCACCGTAATGGCAGCTAGGCTAAAGCCAGTGTAATAATTAGTGCGCCTCGGAATAGAGTATTATTGTCACTCTTTCAGTCTTTATCTGACTCTGAGTAATAGAAACAATACAATGACGTCATGCATTTGATCATCATTATAATGGGTCTTGCCACTACCACTCTCCTCTTCTCTCTATCTCTCTCTCTCTCTCTCTCTCTGTCCGTCTGTCTGTCTGTCTCTCTCTCTCTCTCTCTCTCTCTCTCTCTCTCTCTCGCTTGCTCTCTCCCTCCTCTCCTCCTCCCCCTCTTTCATTCATAAAAACAAAATAATTGTATGAAATAACATTGTTATTTGCGATGGTGAGCAAGGTTTCTGTAGGTATTGATTATCATAACTGTAGTTTTGTTCATGTCTTTG